ATTAAAAAATTTTACTTTGTAATTTTTAAAAATGAAACTCAAATTTTAAAAAATTAATTTCTCAATGATTATCTCATAAAATTGGGCCAAATTTTTTATCACTAATACAGAAATCATTAAATTTTAACATGCTAATTTTTTGGAATTTTTAGCTTTAAGCTTTAATAATGTATTAATTTTTCTTTGTATTCAATTAAATTTTTCATTTTTTTAAAAAAACTATCCTGACTTTAGCTCTCATCTAAAAATTTTTCTAGTAATTAAAAAACCTTTTTAAAAAACACACAATCTAATCTACATATGTACTAATGTTTTTGAAAGTTTTAAGGTTGTAGCACCTCTCTATAAGAAGATATAGATGCGGGGAAACATTTGTTGAGCACTGTATATATAGTAGTCTTAATATATATATATACTAGTATTTGTTTAATTTAATTAATTAATAAATTGATTAATAAGACTCTTTCTGATGATCACTTGAATCACATTTTTTAAAAAATATTTTACTGCAAAAAGAGACCTTACAAGCTAGCACTTGACATACTAGACAATAAGTCAGTACTTATTATTTAGAAGTAGTTTTCATATACTACTTGCTAACAGACTCAGAGTTTATCACTCACTGCATAGTCTTAGCACTCGTTATTTAGAGGTAGTTCTTATATGCTACCTGCTGACAAGCCCAGCCCAGAGTTTATCACTCACTGAAAAAATATTAAACAGGTGTTGGGCATTGGGTCTTGACTATAGAAAAGAAAACTCACACTTCTTTAAATTAGGTTAAAGCTCAAGTGGTTCCTTTTTACCTCTTGTCATTTTTCCATTAGTCTTCAAAATTTTTTCATAAAAAGTAGGAATTTGGCTTATTCCCTCCAAAAGATCAGTATTGTTTACTTATCAAATCCAGATGTATGGTAGATAGCAACCACGTGTTTGGAGATGAATACATTGCATAGGCCCTAGAACAAGTCCTGGTCAAAAAAAGAATCTCTGGTAGTGGCAGCAAGTGGCCTGAGACATGAGTATCTGAGTAATAGTGCCTTTACAGAAATGTCGCAATCTTGTCATCATTGGCACTATATATGAAGAGTCAGATTCTAGTACAGCAGTAGCACTTGGCTTGAGATACAGATTAGATTATTAAAAAGATTCAGAAATGGGTCAGAGAGAATTTTAAAGTTAAGTTTAGTCTTACAACAGAAATATACAGATATTGTATCTAGTATATAATTTTTAAATCACCTGGTATGAGCTATAATAGTATATTTGAATTACTTAATTTTTTATTTTTTTTGCTTGTTTCATCTATTTTCATTTATATTAGAATCAGTTTAGATTCTCCTTTCCTTTTTTTCTTTTGTTTCATTTTCTCTTTTGAGTTCTGTTTTCTTTTTAGAACAATTTCTATTTTTTTTAGTTATAAGGGAGCCTTTAGGGATTTTTTTTAAATATATTTTCCTTTATAATTTTAGCATATATGTTAGTCTTACATAGAAGTTGGAGATAGTATAAATCTGCTGAAATCTAAGTGAATTGAGTTTGGGAAGATATTATCAAAATTTTAGATGGAATAAGTTTGAAAGGAGGGATCAGCTCTTAAAAGAAATCTTTCTTTTGTAAATTGGCATATATGTTTGCGCTATACAAAAGTAGGAGAAAATATATTCTGCTTGAATATTGGTAGAATAAGTCTAGAAGGAAGGCAAGATATAATCAGTTCGAATGTAGGTAACTGAGTACCAAGCTATAGCAGGTTTTTAAATATGGGTAGCACTATACGTAAAGCTTGTTGGCAATATCAGTGCAATAACTATACTTAGGCACTTTTATAGTAGCCGGGTTTTTCCTAATATGTAAATTAGATAGTTAATTTTGTAAATTACAAAAATTCTAATAAATTTGTGTGAGGTTATCAAAGTGAAAAAAAAATAATAAATTGATTAATAGAAATCCATGTTTCTTCAATTAAGTTTATAATTATACTAAACAAGAACTACAGTCAACTCTCCCTAAGTGCACCCCCCTATAAATACACAGACTATATATGCACTTTTTAAATACACACTTATTCCCAAGCATATAGAACTCTTAATAAAATGCCTTCTGTAAATGCACACCTCTCTAAATGCACATTTTTGAAAATTTTGCCCATGATCTCAAGGGAGTGCACTTAGGGAGGGTTGACTATATATTAATCTTAGTAAAATTTCATAACAGTACTTTTTTTTATATGTAACAAAGTCTGAAGTAATAAGATAAGAATACCCAAATAATATAAACTATTAAATTAATATTTAAATAATTAATTTCTAGTTATGTTTAAAAACTTGATTCAAAAAATCTATTTCAACTAATTTAACTACATTATAATAAAAAATAAAGAATATTTACAATACTATAAGCATATAAATCAGATGTTTTATTTGCAATAATTGATGTTTTTTACTTTTTTAAAAAAATTAAAATACTCTTCTTAAAAACAATAAGTAAATATTCTCTTTAATATATCTACAGCTAGTATTGTACCTTCTTTTTGGCATTTTCTCTAATCCAAAATTGTAATTTATTAATATTTTAAATAAAATAATTGTTTAAGTTAATACTTTTACAAATAAGATAATAACACCTTTCTAGATTCAACAGCTTGTATAGTTGTTGTAAATATTAATTGCCATATTGGGTTATTTGTATATTCTATTGTGGCTTTTTTTGTTTATAATCTTTACTTTCAATAGATTATAATTATTGTATGTGTATGTAATGAATTACCCAGTTACACACGGGTTCATATTCCGTGCCAAGGCACGGGATTTAAATATGAACCCGTGTGTGTAACTGGGTTATTCAACATACCGATACAATAACTATCTTATTGAACGGTGTCTGACGTAACAATCCCGTGCCAATAAGTAAATGAAAAAAGCACGGGTTGTCACATAAGACCCGTACAATAAATACTGTTATTTTTAAACAATTTAAGTACTCTATAGTTCAATGTAATTAATTTCAAAAAAAAATTTTAAAGTTAAATACAGTTATCTTATGGGATGTTCTATAGAATAGGTGGGCAAAGTCCGCAACTCCGCAACTCCGCTAAATATCTATTAATGATTATTAATCATCAGCGGAGTTTATTTTTTATATTGCCCACCTATTCTATAGAACATCCTTTCACATATTAATACTCTACAAAAAATTTATCTCAATTTATTTTACACTTTAACATAATATTAAAAAGAATTTTTCTCACTTTAACGTACTACTATGATATTAGCTCGTTCGGTTCTGTTATAACAAATTTTTATAACAATTCAAATCAAGCTGATAACATTTGTATTGAGAAAAACAATACAAATGATGTAAATTTCTGAGATTTGTGCGATTTGGTTTAATCATACAATTTCCGTGTCCCTGGTCGAAACTCAAATTTTGGATGAATAAATATGACGGCTGAATTGATAGAGTACAGTACGTAATTCTTTTTTGCTATCACAAAAAAAATAAGTAAAGTAGATACGTACCCTGTCAACTGTCACTACCGTTATACACTTAATTGTGTCGTCATCCAGTATCGTGCATAGAGCTTTGGCTATAACTATTCCAAATGGCCATATAACCCAAATACTGATAAACTACCTAAACAACCAACTACGTAATACACTTTATTTTAACGTGTTGTAACCCAGTTTTATGTTTGTACCCTGGCATCGTAATGAATGAGTCTTTTCCTTTGTTACAACAACGTACGTATTTTACCTGACTTTTTACGACTATTCTATGTACAATAGTACGAATGCTTAATCGCATCACGCGAATGCATTATTAATGCCACTAAAATTGCTTTACTGTTGTCCCTTTAATGAAACTTTACATTCTCAAATGTGTATAATGATAATTATATGACTGACAAACCAATTGTGTAATTGCTTTCTTCACATGATATTACTGCCGTAAAATTGTTCTACAATGATGTAGTTGTGAGCAAAGATTTCATATAAACAATAATATTCTTATTCAAATAGCTTAGATAATATGAAGATATAGAACTTTTGATATATATAAATATTGAAAAATCGAATCCTAGCATGTTTCTTTTTATGTTGAATTAGTTTTTTCTCCGAAAATGTTAATTTCTGAGTGTTTGTCCTAATTTATATTACTGATACCCTAATTCCTCTACGTATACCCTTTCGAATTTGCTCAATAAAGATTGCATTCGGCGCCGTTGATTGTTTCTGTTTAAATTTTTTGTGATACTTTGATGCTAATTCTGGATGCAGATTTGATATAAAATAAGTATGGATTTTATTTAGATTAACAAATTCTAATTTCAATTTCACATCCGGAATCACAAAAGCAAAAATAAAAAATAAACCTATTTTTCAAATGGAAAATAATATATTCATAAACTCTATAAGGGTAGTTGATGAAAAGAAAAGTGATTATTCTGAAAGAGACAGTGTTGTCGATTTTTACGGGGAGGTTATAGTACAAGCTTCTAACGAAGAAAAAGTTGTAATTATAGAGTATACTACAGATTCTTGGACTAGAATTAATAACACAACTGCAATACGATTACATACTCTTTCCAGCAAGCAAGATATATATAATTTTGAAATTTCAGTTTTTAAGAAATCTAACGTACCTATATTTCTGGAATTTCGTGCTCGATATGAATTTGCTGCCCATATCTTTTGGACTGATGATTATGAATTTTTATATGATGAGGGCACTCCTACGGAAAAATTCTTTTCCAATAATACTATAATTGAAGATTTTACATCTCAGCATAATTTAGCAGAAGAAGGGCTTAGACAATTGGAAGAAGAGCGCGGGTATCTGGTAGAAGAATCTAGACAAAGGCAACAAGAGGAAGAATATGAACAAAGACAACAAGAAGAAGAACGTAGACAGAGGCAAGAGGCAGCAGAACGCAGAAAGTTAGAGGAAGAACATAGACGTAGACAACAAGAAGAATTAGAAGAATTACGCAGAAAGCTTGAGGAAGAAAATTTACGCAAACAACAAGAGGAAGAACGCAGAAGACTAGAAGAAGATCATTTACGTAGGCAACAAGAGGATGAACGTAAACGCAGACTACAAGAGGAAGAACGCAGAAAGTTAGAGGATGAACGTAATCGTAAACGACAAGAAGAAGAACGTAAAAGGCTAGAGGAAGAACGTAGATTGCTAGATGAAGAGCGCAGAAAATTGGAGGAAGAACGTAAAAGGCAAAAAGACGAACGCAAAAGGCAAGAAGACGAACGCAAAAGGCAAGAAGACGAACGCAAAAGGTTAGAAGAACAACGCAAAAGGCTAGAGGAAGAACGCAAAAAGTTAGAGGAAGAACGCAGATTGCTTGAAGAAGAGCGTAGATTATTGGAAGAAAGACGCAATCAACAGGAGAATACAAATAGAAACTTTTCTCAAGAGAATTCAATAAACCAAACAAATATGTCGCAAATTCTTACCTTTAATTGGTGCTTAAATCCAAATTTTGGATCAGGACAGGTCCACCTTCAAGGAGGTAAATGATACAGAACCTTTAGATTGTTATTTTAAATGTGCTAATATATTTACATTATGATTATTTAATTATGCTTTTCAAAGATAATTCATGCGGGCAAAAGTCTTGTATCTTGCATGGATTCTATTTTGAAAAATGTAAACAGTATAAAATAGATCTCGATCTCGAACTTGAAGTGCAAGAGTAAAAGAATGTACTATGTGCACATGTCAAACTTTTATGAATATTAAAAACTAAATATAGTCTCAATTTTAGTATATATCATGAGCGCATATATCTTGCATTAACTTGATGATAAAAGAAAATTTTTAAAGTATAATTTATTCAAACTATCAGCACTAAGAAAAAAATATATACCAATATATATATCGAAATCATTTTCTTTTAGGGCTATTTAGCTTAAAAGATTAAAACAGTAAGTTAATGTATTAAAAATGTGATACCAAAATTTGTAAAACTTTATAATTAAAAATCAACATTTATTAGTACAAATAATCTTATTAGATTTATATCTTTGCCGAAATTTCATAATATTTACCCTAATTATTGGTTTCGACCTTACTCTTTCTATCTGTATTTCGCAGTGCCTTACTTCCAATAAAAAAATATAGATAATATGAACATAATCCATAAATAACCATTTCTTGTAGCAAATGAATAAAGATACACTAGTGCGATTGGTGGCGGTTTGCGCCACCAAACTTATTAATCATGAGTTATCAAAAAATTCTATTACAAACTTGCAATTTTCGCAACACTGTACACACAGTACGTGGCTAAGATTGCATTGAAATTATCATAATTTCTACTATCTTTGCTGAAACCTTCGATTTTTGCTAAATATATTTACAAGATTGCTATAATATTGCTACAATGTAATTACAATATTATCAATGTTATAATATGATAAATATATGTTAAACATATGTTAAAAATATTATTATCATATTTTAAAAATATTATTTTTGTTCTACTATCTTACTTTTAATTTGATGTATATTATATATTTATAATATAATTACAATATAGGTTTAATATTAAAATTATCTTTTTATTATCTAATAACAATCTAACAGTAATCTAAAAATATAATATTTTAATAATATAATAGCAATCTTTATTATTGCTCAATCAGATGACTTTATTTAAACAACTAAACAATTTTATTTAACAAAGCTGAAAAACATATGGGAATAGAAGAGGATCACTAATTAGTAAATCTCATTTTCCTAGAAAACTGCAACTCTGCTGTTCCAATAGATCTCAAATAACATAACTGCCTTACTATCAAAACCACCTATAGCTCATATTTGTGTTAACAATAAACCTGCTTCCATTGCTGTGTTGTACCACCAATCCTAATGCTATGAGTAATAATCTCTTTCTGAATCAGATGAAGTAGGTGATGCTCTTTTTCTTTTGTGCTGATACTTTCGAGCTTTTCTTCTATAACCCCATTCATATGAGCATGAAGATTGCTCTGCCTGGCTAAATAAAGGTATATGGTCCTTGTACTTCTCCATCATCTTATCATTACTTCCTACAATCTGCAATGCAGTACCCCATCCTGCTAATCTTAGAGTAACAGCCCTTGATTCAACTTCCTCACACACACCAACAATTTCCTTCCTATTAGACTCTAGCAACACCCTGATTGCCTTATCCAAATGTTTACCAATCTTTGCCAAAAAATCGTACTCATGGTCACGTGGTCTTGATAATTTAACTTTCGGCCAAGCTTCATCTAACCCATCTCCATCTTCAATCTCCTTATACAATGCAGAGAAATTCCTATCCATCTTTCTTTCAATGCTACTTAAAGCAGTCAGAAAAACATCAACAGGAACTGACTTTACTTTCTCTTTTCCTCTAAAACATGCTGCAAATTCCTCTATAATCCTATTATCCACTTCCTGGGAGTTTTCATCTAAATCATCCTCAAACTCACCACCTCCATCTTCATCCAAGTCCACATCTACTACTTCTCCTGTCCTATCATAAGCATTCCTGGGCCCTGGTTCTTGTCCTCTATTACTCCCCTTCAACTGCGCCTTCAGCCCTTTATCTTTTCTCTTGTCAAAATAAGCATGTAGTCTTTCATCTAGCTCTTCTTTATTACCCTCTACGGAGAAGCTACAAGCTGCACACAAGTCCTTCAACTCAGTCAAAGTCAGCTTTGTCCAACTCCCAGCATGCATTGAATGATTTGCAGACATACTTCAGATCACTTACATATGTACAATAATACTATAAGCTAAATGCAGCTATTTAATTATTTATTTTATATTTTTCGAAACAAAAATAAATGTATATGATATATGATATATGATACATGATATATGATACAAACGATAGAGCCAGCCTTCACAAGGCGAGCAATAGTGAAAAAAAAGATAATCTTCTTCACCAAAACAACCAGCCTTAAATATCTTATTTGGCCATTATCCCTTACCTAACAATAAGC